GTTTAAAATTTTGTATCAGTATGAAATTTATGTTTAATGATGAACTCACTTTCTCTCTCTCTCATCAACATTGCTCTCACATTTTCCTCCTAGGTGTTTTCCCCTGACCAATGTGGATCAGCATGGTAGTAACATACTGTAATGATAAAACTAACAAGATAAAATATAAATTATATGCAAACTTACAATCATATCTGTGAGAAGAGGTCGTGCATAATCTCTTCGAAGTTGGCCTTTCAAGATTGCAGAAAGGAGTTCGTAGAGAGCACGAGAGAGGTCTGAAATATTTATCTTACATTACATTCTTGTACAACCACTAGCACGTATAACGTTTCAGACAAGCCCTTAATTCTACGTTCCCTGGAATACGACCTCACCAAATCGTTTAACAACCAGGTACCCATTTTACTGTTGGGTAAACAGAGGCTATAGTTAAGGATTGACACCCAGTAAATCCTCCCCAGCCAGGATACAAACCCAGGACAAAGCGCTCGCAAAATGCCAGGCAAGTGTCTTAACCACTTCACCATGGGGACTGCCAATGTTTATATTGAAATAAATTTATTTATAAAAATAATCTAACTTATTCAATAACACTTATGACTACAAAACAAAGAACTAAATAAAATATCATGCTGTAAGGGAAATGAATAATTCCTGTTGTCAGAGACAGGAAGCCTGTATTTAGACTTACGGAGATTCCCCCCCCCTCCCCCAGGCCAACCACCAACCTTCCCCACAATGCAAATCACAACAGTTGCCTAACTCCTGGGTACCAAATTTACTGCTAGGTAAACCGAGGCACCAGGTGAAATGAAATTTGCCCAACCATTTCTGTACTGCCCAGGGAATTTAACACGTGTCCCTTGGTTGTGAGCGAAGGATGTAGACCCCATGCTACAGTATTCAGAACTTTGTTCTTCCTCAGTCTAAAATAGTACTGTATCATGTCTGGAGTTCAAGGAGAAAGGCTTCAAAAACAAAATACTTACCTCTTATTTTTTAACTTATTATTTAATATACACAGTGTAAATGGATCCAACTTAGGAATAGCTGTTCATCCACCTGGCCTCTCAGGGTAACAAGCCATCATCTTGCATGAAACTCAAGGACGCAACACATCAGAACCCTTTCTTTTTACTTTCTCAAGAGGCCCATGCCTGCCTCATAACACACCCTAAAATTTCTATACACATGTAAGAAGTATATATTATTATTTATTAACAAAGAACTATAAAACCAGAAAAACGGCCAGCCTACTCATGAGAAACTCTCCAGACACAAAACAGAACGCTTTAAAAGAGACTAATGTCGTCTATGCCTTCAAATGCCCACTTGGGGACTGTAAGCTCCAAAAAAACCCAGTATATAGGCAAGACAACAACATCTCTTTCTAGGCGTTTAACGATGCATAAGCAACAGGGCTCCATTAAGGAACATATAATCTCTTCCCATAACCAAACCATCGCCAGAGAAATCCTAGTAAACAACACAGAAATCATCGATAGATACAGCGATAGCAGGCGGCTTGACGTTTGCGAGGCACTACACATCAAGAAGTCAACACCAGCAATCAACAGCCAATTATTGCACAACTATATTCTACCCACCTCAAGACTCCGCTCCAATATAGAAGCATCAAGAAATATGGACCAATAGGCTTTCTACAAACACTTCTATTCAATACCCATTGTTTCTGTTCTGTCTTGTGTTGATACTTTTAATACCCTATTAATATCCCCTCCTGTTCTGTCTTGTGTTAATGCCACATCACCCTTCCCACCTCACTCAAATGTAGATATAAAATCAGAGATACGTTCTAATCAGTTGTGTATTTGTGAAGTCTTTGAAAATGTAATAAGTTTTATGAAACGCGCCCGTGTCGCGTCAGACTAGAAATAAAAATGAATTTTGGAGAAGTGATTTTTGATTTACCTCCAACAGTGAAGCGTAATGTACGAAAGATTGAGAAAATTCGTGTTAGAATTATTAATCTTACTTTTTCGGTCATATTTAATAATATATGTCTACAGGAAAGACTGCTACCAAAATATACTAATATTATTTATTAGTATACAGGTATTTAGTTCCCTCTCAAAGAAATAATTATTTGCATTAAAAGTAAAATTTCAGTTAAGGAAATTACTGTACTGTGTAAAATTTCTCCCCCTTTTGTTTACCAATGGGTGTTAAGAACTACAGCAAGGTCATGTGAGCGATGCACATTGCAATATCAACATAAAGCTCAGTATATGATCATACATCTGTGTAGTATCAGTCAATACAAGGTCTTATCATAGAGCAACCAAGAAAAAATAAAGACACAAGTTGCTAATGGTCTACACAATCTGATCTTATGGCCATAAATAAATTACTGTATACACATTCCAAGAGTACAATAAGGCATTTAGAAAGCAAAATTTATATACTGTACTGTAATACAGTATATATATCCTGTGACAACCATATAGAGTACAGCATCGTATCCTTGCTTAATATACCTAGAGCAGACTCTATACCTAGAGCAGACTCTATACCTAGAGCAGACTCTATACCTAGAGCAGACTCTATACCTAGAGCAGACTCTATACCTAGAGCAGACTCTATACCTAGAGTAGACTCTATACCTAGAGTAGACTACTAAAGAGTAGACAGCTCAAAGTTTAACCAATATATATCTAGTCCAAAAACAAGACAAAGTTACAGAAGGTTCAGAGGAATGGTACGATACTTGCTCTAGAAGTAAGAGGTATGAGTTATGAGAAAAAACTACAGGAATTAAGCCTAACACCTCTGGAAGACACAAGAGTTAGGGGAGATATGATAACATACAAAACTCTAAATAGTAGTAGATTATGTATACAGTACAATAATTATAACTTGCACATGTAAGCAAATTGGTACAGACCTTTGACTTGGTTAGGTTTGGATAATCCTGGATTATCTGGATTATCTTTGATCAGCTGCTTTATCATCTGGACCCTGAAAGAGATATTTTTAACTTAAAACATGAAAATTTTTTAATATAACAACATTTACTTGTTGAATCAAAATGGGGAAGAGGATGCAGAATCAGCTGAACTATACTAGTTGTTGTGCATACTGTACCAAGATCCATCCATCTCTTATTCCTGCACCTTAAGAGATGCGAGCTCCCTTTGAAAGGATAATTTTTCTTTATCCTACTTTCAAGAACTTTGACAAGTACAGTACAGAACATTAACTTTTCTTAGTCAAGGCTAGCTAAGTTGTTGGGAAATATAACATCCAGAATTAACCACAATAAGATGTATGGGAGACGTATGACATAACTCCTTCAATGTCACCAATCAGCAACCATATAGTTACTGCAACTTATTTCAAGAACAAAGACCAAGAATACAAAATTCACTTTTCTGAGTACAGTACTGTACTGTATCTCACTTGGTTGCTCAGTAAGGCAAAATCCACCTGGGTCCTATAGGACAGAATTATGAGCGAGGGGTATTAGCCTGGATCATATCTGGAGTGGGTTCTGGGAGTTCTACTCCTCAAGCCTGCCTGGGACCAGACTTGACTGTGATAAACTTGGCCCAATACTGTTGCTTTGAGTGGCCCGCAGGCCCACATATCTATTACAACCTGGTTAATCCAGCACTTCTTGCAAGAACGTATAATTTTCCGTTAAGTAAGTAATTATCAAAGAAGGCATCAAGCCGGGAAGGCTATGTAGCACCAATTTTGTGATTATGCATACTGTACAGTATATATATTCTCTGTACTCGAAGACTAAACCACACACCAGAAGACGAGGAGTTGACGACGTTTCGCTCCATCCTGGACCATTAAATCGATTGTGATGGAAGTGAGGTCAGTCAGTCTTCGGCTATACGGAGAATCTATTGAAACTGATGCTAACTATGAAACTGTGATGAAACTATGAAACTATGATGATGAAACTATGAAACTATGATGATGAAACTGCTGACTGATTAACTGATGAAACTAATAAAGAATTTTTTTTCTTTAAGTTCACTTTTATTCTGGAAATATTTCCTATGCTTGTTGGAGGGGTATTGAATGGCCATGAACCTCTGATGTTTATACAGTACAGTGTTAGATACACTGATTGTGTCCATGGAACCTCTACTCTTCACTAACTGTATTCTGCATTTCTTATCATTTTACTGTGCAAATTTGGGACCTGGCCTTCCAGTATCCCTCATGTATATACAGTACAGTATCGTGTGATATCTCTCGTCTCCTTTCTAGAGGATAACATTTTGAGAGCTTTGAGATTGTCCCAATACAGCAATTTAGGCACTTTATTGTGTCTATGGACTGGGCTGGACGGTAGAGCGACGATCTCGCTTCATGCAGGTAGGCGTTCAATCCCCGACCGTCCAAGTGGTTGGGCACCATTCCTTCCCTCCCCCGTCCCATCCCAAATTCTTATCCTGACCCCTTCCCAGTACTATATAGTGGTAATGGCCCTGCACTTTCTCCTGATAGTTCCCTTCCCCTTCCCTTCCAGTGTCGCGAGGTTCAGTTCCAGTAATCCTTCCTCATAGCTCATTCCTCTCAGCTCGGGGACTAGCCTGGTGGCATACCTCTGAACCATGTCTAACTTCGTTTTGTGTTTGACTAGATGCGGACCCCACACCAGAGCTGCATATTCTAGTCTGACATATGAGGTAACAAGGTTCTGAGAGATTCCTTACACAAATTTCTGAAAGCAATTCTTATGTTTGCTAGCCTTGCATACGCTGCTGATGTTATGCTTTTGATGTGGGCTTCAGGGGACAGGTCTGGTGTGGTATCAACCCCCAGATCTTTCTCTCGTCCTGATTCCTGAAGGATTTCCTCTCCCAGCTGGTACTTTGTGTTTAGCCTCCTGCTCCCTACGCCTATCTTGAACACTTTGCTCTTGCTCAAATTAAATTCTAGTAGCAATTTGCTGGACAATTCCTTCAGTCTGTCCAGGTCATCCTGTATCCTCTTGCTGTCCTCCTCTGTCTTCATCTTTCTCATAATTTTAGCATCATCAGCAAACATTGAGAGGAACGAGTCTATACCTTCTGGAAGATCTGAGCCGATTCGACAAGATGGCGTCTGTGAAGTCGAGGCAGGAAAGTTTATTTTTTAAGACCAAACAATAGGATGATTAGAATTCCTAACATGACACAAGAGAACATTGTTTATATTTATTGACTTAACACTTCTTTTGTCTGTCATGTTCTCTTTATTCCCTCTATTTCTGCAATCTCTCCCACTATGAAAGAGGAAATAGGCACAGAATAGTACTCCAAGCGGGACTGCATAAGTGATTTTGAATAGTACTGTATAAGCATTGTGGTGGAATCTGAAAATTTGAAGGTTCTCATACTGAGTAATCCAACCAATCATATTCCTGGCTGACACTATATTTGCTTGGTTATGCCCACTAAATGTTAGGTTATCAGACATCATAATTCCCAGATCCTTTACAAGTTGTTTTCCTTCTATGAGTAAGCTCTTAATTGTTTTTAACCCAGTAATTTGCTGAAGTTCTTAATTTTTTTTATACCCGAGTACTGTACCTGGAATTTATCACGTTATTTTTTGTTACCCAATCAAGGACTTTACTGATACTGTACTGGCTTGTAACTTTTCAATATCTTCTACAACAGTTATTTTCATACTAACTAGTTACCCCATGACACACACACTGCTCAGACCTGCTGGTGTAAACAAAGCAGCAAGTGGTATCTTGCTGGTCTAATATCTTACAATATTGTACTGTACAGTACTGTATATGCTTCTATATGAACGTCTGCTCTCACTGGCTGTACTGTACATGCCACAGGTCAGTCCAGCAGAAGGTACCGCAGCCCTGTTATTTTGGTCCAGTACCAGAGGTGATTATCAAATTCACTCAATCACAATTAGAGGTCTGTTGGCATTACTCTTTACATTCAGAAGATGAAGAACAACTTTACATTTATCATGTTTAACAAAATTTTGTTCTTGAAAGTGTAAATAGAATGGTTAAACAAATTTATTTTTGAAATTCTGAAACTAATCGAGACATTTTAGTGCCATCAGAAAGTTTATTGAATGCTTAAATGTTAATATGTTTTTGCCCTACATTTAGCGAGTTCTTGACACATTAGCCACATATCTATGGATCATCCAATAAAATTAGCCGACTCCTAGATGTTATTACTGCTCAGTTGAGGCATATGTATCTCTGGGAGTTTACATTACCTGCTAATGTAGACCTGACCAAATGTAAACCTGTCACTAAATTATTCACCCACCCTTCATCACAATGTGACCTCACTCTCAAATGAACACAATACAGATCTATAACAAAGGTTCAAGAAATGTGTAATATTTTATTCATAGTGATGAATACCAAAACCATTCTATAATATGGTGCCCAAAATGAAACGTTAAAAATACTGAACAATCGTTAAAAATACTGAACAATTTGGAGGATATTGATCAGGACAACTTCTTCAAAATGTCAAATGTAACACAAACATGGAGCAACGGTTTCAATGTTGTTGTTATGGATTCAGCTCCTTGGAACAAAAAGTTCCAAGTATGTGACAAGTAGTATGGTGAGCCCGTAGTGGACTTACATGGCACAGGAGCATGCCAGTATGTTCTATGGAATGGTTTTAAGCTCAACAAGCCACAATATAGGACTGAGAACAGGTGATGGTTTTTTTCACCCACAGGGTTATTAACCCATGGAACCTCATACCCGACAAAGTTGTAAATGCCAAAACGTTGCTTAACTTGAAAATCCAGCTTAAAAAAACATCAGGACAAATGGAGGGGAAGGGGAGGGACCTTTGACAAGTCGCCGGCTTCCTGTCCTCGTCCAGGCCAACAGTGTGTTAGGTAAATTCAGGTAAAACTGAATTGCACTATACCCATGGGGGCAAAGGTCAGGTTTTACTCTTCTATCACTATCACTTTACTCATGCAGCCTGTATCCGATATATATATACAAACTTTAAGGCTCATTATTCTCACGTTTGTACAATGAGGAGAGAGAGTGAGAGCTGCACATTGTGAGGGAGACGAGGCCCGTGTCCGGGGTCACCACCTCGCCGCTCACCACCATTACACCTCACTATCTCTCTACTACCCTCCTCCAACACTCATTTTATTAAGTGTTGTCCAGAGACATGGGTGGTTAGACCAGTGTTCTGCCTTGCATTAGCTTTACTAATAAGCGAGCGCCTGTAAACACCAATGGAAAAATCGGTCACCGTTGACAATATTGGCGTCCAAGTCGCGAAGGGCAAACACAAAGATTTATCGCAGAAACGGGTGATAATATTTATGAAATTAGAATGCGAGAGTTATTAGAATTTCTTTTGCACATTTAGGATATAACTCACACTTCTCCCTTGCCAGATTTGTCCCAGTTTTTCCATGTTTCTTGTGTAAACAAGCGGCAGCTGCCCGCCATGTTTGCTGCTTGGACCCGTCTTCTAAACCTCATACCTAACGTGCGAAACAAAACAAAATATTACCTTAATTGGTCTAAATGCTTGGAACCATACATCAGATAAACTTATTATGCACTTATGTTACATTAAATAATTCTTTATTGACGTTTAAATATATGTTTCATAAATCAAAAAGGATTTATACCTCATTACATTATTGAAGAATTGGACATTTGCACATTTTAGTGACTGTCAATATTATATTAAGAAGTAAAATGGCAACATTATCCTCATAAAACTTGTTTTAAAATATGTTACAATCGAGGGAGTTGTAGTATAATTTAGTGAGATGGGGGGAGGGGTATAAGGGCAGTTTGTATATTATGAGCCGGGTGGGTTGTGGAGGGTGGGTGTCCGATGAGCGTTGGGGGTTACATATTGAAATTGAAATAAGTTTATTGAGGTAAAATACACACAAAGGGATGAGGTAGCTCAAGCTATTCTCACCCCGTTCAGTACATCGTGTTAATACATACATATACACACATCATAAACAATGAACATATTACCAAACATTCTGAGAGATAAACATATACATTTCCTCCTTTACTCAAGTTACATATAATTATGTTAATAATAATTCGTTTTGCCAATGCAGGCCTACTATGCAAGGCCCGATTTGCCTAATAAGCCAAGTTTTCCTGAATTTATATGTTTTTCAATTTTTTTTCTTATGAAATGATAAAGCCATCCATTTCATTATGTATGAGTTATTTTTTTAATTTGAGTTAAAACTAACATAGATATATGACCGAACCTAATCTTCCCTGCCTAACCTAACCTATCTTAACCAAACCTAAACTAACATAAGTAAGTCAATAATTTGTGTTTGTAATATAATATAAAATACTAGTTCAAATAAACCAATTGATTTTTTTTAATAAAGAAAATCACTCGGCCTATTAGGCAAATCGAGCCTTGCAAAGTAGGCCGAAAAGTGAGTTCAGCTGGCTACTAGGTACGACACACACACACACATTATATATATATATATATATATATATATATATATATATATATATATATATATATATAGTCCTCTCTCTATATATATATATATATATATATATATATGTCGTACCTAGTAGCCAGAACTCACTTCTCAGCCTACTATGCAAGGCCCGATTTGCCTAATAAGCCAAGTTTTCCTGAATTAATATATTTTATATAATTTTTTTCTTATGAAATGATAAAGCTTCCCATTTCATTATGTATGAGGTCAATTTTTTTTTTATTGGAGTTAAAATTAACGTAGATATATGACCGAACCTAACCAACCCTACCTAACCTAACCTATCTTTAAAGGTTAGGTTAGGTTTGGTAGCCGAAAAAGTAAGGTTAGGTTAGGTTAGGTTAGGTAGGTTAGGTAGTCGAAAAACAATTAATTCATGAAAACTTGTCTTATTAGGCAAATCGGGCCTTGCATAGTAGGCTGAGAAGTGCATTCTGGCTACTAGGTACGACATATATATATATATATATATATATATATATATATATATATATATATATATATATATATATATATATATATATATATATATATATATATATATATATATATATATATATATATATGTGTGTGTGTGTGTGTATATCACGAAAATAAACACGTGATTAAGAATGTGACAATGTCAGACCACGGAGGAAAATGAAGCAGGAATTTCCTTAAGTACTTTCGTATATTAAATACATCTTCAGAAGGAATGATTTTACAGATCGAGTGATGGGTATAAATAGGCAGGAGAGAGTGGTGAAGTAAGGTGAGGTACAATACTTGGACAACGCAGACGGCCCATTGGCCCATCCGATGTAGCCCAATGGCCCATCTGATACAGCAGACATACAAGCACAATACATAGGTAATTATAAGATAAAGAGGTAAATATATACAATGAATTAGTGAGACAAATGTTTTCCAATGATCCTACTTAAATCGCCCTTTAGCTGATCTATTAGAAATGGATCTAAGTTATATAGACCACTGCTTATATTCAAATTACTTTCTTTGGTGATCTGTATCAAAGCAGATTCAATTATGTTTCTGTTATAGGTGCTTTTACAATTTGTTATTGAAGAAGCACTCTCCCAATCAATTTGGTGAGCTTTTTCTGACAAATGAACAAACAAAGCATTAGACAATTGGCCATGTCTTACAGAGTATTTATGTTGCGATATTCTACATTTTAAATCTTTTTTTAAAGATTTAAAATGTAGAATATCGCGTAGAATATCGGTCGTGGAGTGGCCTAACCAGCGGAACTGATTGGAACCTGCCAGCTACAGGCTGGATTTGTGGTTGAAGGCCTCCACGACGGTGCCCCCAGTGGAACTGTGATTTGGCTGGCCTGTGGCCAGAGTAGACTCGAGAGAATCGAAGGATTCATCGTGAGGCCACAAGAGGACCAAGGGCTAAGCATCGTTGAGCACCGTGGAACACTCCACGTCTTCAGAAGAAGACCATATTGTATATTATAGTGTTTATACCCCCCCCCCCCCGTGTGATAATTTATATATTTATTTATGGTGATGGTAATTATATATTATGTTTAGTTAATTTGTATCCCTTCCCCCTTTAATTTACTTGCGTTACGGAACACACCTCTTGAAAGCCACTACTAGCTTGGGGCCGGATACCCAAACTCTACTAACATCAGAGAAAGAACCCAGTTCGACCCCAGAGGGCCGTAACACTGCACACGCACGACCCACACGACCCAGCAGCAAGGAATCAAGCCTTCACGATAAAATATCGCCAAGATCTGATTCGTAATCAGATACATAAGGCAGAAAATGAAATCAAAGACAACAAAACGCAACTACTTCGTGCTACAAATCAATGGAGAAACAGCAACATCGACGAGTCTCCGTACTCGCATCGAGCAACACCTCGACATCCTCACAGACCGACATCACCTCAGCACTGAAACAAAGATAATCAAGAAACTAACAACGTTATATGGAGGACCTATGGCAATTCCACGACCAAGAGACGGCTTCCTGAACCTTGCAGGAATCAACCTCACTGAGGACCAAGTCACTCTCCTAAATCTGGGTATAAACTGTTACGTTATGTCCAGACCAAATGAGATGGCCCGGAAAGTGGAGTTGGAGATCCTGTTGGACGACATATTCGAGCTCGAGACACAGAAGGAGGTGTTACGGTGTAACACTGTAAAAGTGTTTGGTTTAGTTTAATACATACATAGAGTACATGAGTCACAGACAAGGATCTGAGAGGCGCCAGTTTGTCGGCCTGAGATCTCACACCTCAAAGCGTTAATGACCTCAAGTGACCTGAGGTCAGATCATGAGAATTTCACCTTGCTTCCGCTAAGCTTATAATTGTAGTCTGGTAGCCTTCAAACATGCCGACGTTTAAGGAGTGGCTTGGTAGTGCCGGAGGCTATCTACTTGTGGGCGGAGTTAGCTACTAGGTTCCCCAATATAAACTCGGAGAGCTATCGAGCATGAAGCATTAACAGACAGAACGGCAGTCAGCAGAGCAGAGAAGACAGCCCTAGCAGGGAGGCTGTCGGCCGGCAGGGCGGGAGTCTCCGTCAACTACAGACCCCCCCCCCCCTCTCTATCCAGCTATAGGCACACACTCGGTGAGTTGAGCATTAAGGTGACTTGGTCGTGTTTTACAAGTGTTGTGTGATGATCAGGGGCAGTCAAGTTGTAGGGTTCTCGAATTCTTGGATGATGACTCACTTTGCATATTAAACTGGAACATTTTAATTGAATTGCTAAATTATGATACTTCATGTGAAATATAATTATGAACTTATTATTTAAATTGTGTTTAACTTTGCTCCCTAGAGCTTTGAGTTGAGGTGAGGAAGCCTCTGTGGTTACTGGTTTCATGATATTAATGAGTACATGTTTGGAGTTGATACATGGTAATAACATCTTTGGTGAATATTGTGATACAGACAAGTTCCATTCCTTGTCTTGTATGTAATGATCATGAATGGATGGTGGCAGCATTTCGTCTTCTACTATCTACTCTTCTACTTCTACTATCTACTCTTCTCCTTCTACCTATCTACACCTCTCCCTCCACCCCTCTCTAAACTCTCACTTTCAACTAATGACCCTCCTCGCTCCTCCCACCTCCCTACCTCTCACCCCGAACCCTCACTAATTACTTCACTATTCATTTCTTTCCTTTCGTTTTCTCTTATACGTTTGTGGCAATGATTTTGTATTCTAGAGTTCTCTCTAGAGTTTCGGGTAGCTGATCCAGTTACGGCGCCTTGTAGTCTTAGCACCTAGGTAGTCATATACCTAGGTTACAAGGTGTTGAACGAGAGAGGCTGCCTTAGTAACTCTGGAGGTGCTCTAGAATAGTTAGCTAACTGAGGACGGAATAACGGACTAGAGAGAGCTGTTTCCCCCGGCCTCGTTAGTTAACTGGGGGGTGGAATAATGGACAAGTTAGAGCTATTTCCCCCACCCCCCGTTACAACGGACCCGAATCCAGCGTCCGAGCCTGGATCAGTAACGACCACGCCATCTGTGGGTCAGCTCCCGAAACCCCCTCCAAATGGACGACGACACCTGGTGAGGACGAGGTGTACTGGCCACGAGGGCCAGTTTCCGGTCCTGTTCAGCTCACAACACAGCAGCTGCTGACCTCTGGTGTGACCTCAGTCACACCCCCGGAGCTCGTTCAATCACACCCCCGGAGCTCGACCAGTCACACCCCCGGAGCTCGACCAGTCACACCCCCGGAGCTCGACCAGTCACACCCCCGGAGCTCGTTCAATCACACCCCCGGAGCTCGACCAGTCACACCCCCGGAGCTCGACCAGTCACACCCCCGGAGCTCGACCAGTCACACCCCCGGAGCTCGTTCAATCACACCCCCGGAGCTCGATCAGTCACACACCTGGAGCTCGACCAGTCACACCCTCGGAGCTCACCCAGTCACACCCAGCGGAGTCCCACAGGGCTCTGTACTTGGATCCATCCTGTTTCTGATATATATAAACGATCTTCCAGAAGGTA